AAAGAGAAAGAAAAAACAAACCCTTTCAAATTTTCTTCCATACGCTGCGCGCACATAGATTCCATCTGGTCGTTCTTCCCATTGATAACGGTATGTTTTTCTATAAGAACATGAGGTTTTTATATCGCCTAAGACTTCATCTTTGCTATGTTCAGCTAAAATGGCGACTTTCATTAGATCATTAAGTTTCACCCAACCTAAACAGAAAAAAACGCTGGTATTGAATCATATATCATGAAATAGCTTGCAAACTACCTTCATCAACTTTGCATCCTTCCTTTTCCGCTCCATAACGTAACAAATAGGCAAGTCGTTTGCCTAAACGGACTCTGCGTCGTTCAAATTGTTGTATCAGCCTGAGATCAGAGTCGTGTGTCTCAGATTCATCATTGCCATCATGTTCTTTCTTAGTTGTCGATGTTTCGGTAGTTAAATTGAGCATTTTATTCGTTATGTTAATTAGCACTGTTTTCAATAAGTTTATTAATAGTTGGTTCTTTTTGTATCGATTACTTACAATGGCAATGAAAATTTTCCTTTTTGTTTTTGACAATTGCGTCACCCTATTTGGTCACGCTAAGAACTGGAAAGAAAAGAAAAAAATACCATTACAAATAGGTTGTGAAATAACGGAGCAGAAATTACTTTGTCATCAGTTATTCGTTTTATTGCTGAGCTCTTGACATATACAAAGTTCCATACACACACAGGCACACAAATATAGCAGTTATGCTTGTGCAATATTCCAGCGATTATCGAAAACGCTTGCATGAATCAACTTCGTGCTATTCTCCCAGATAAAATAGAAACCTCTTTTCTCTCTCACGCATAAAGTGTCGTTATTTTGCTGCAAATGTGCAGCATATTTACTTACGAATGGCTTATTTATTTGTTGAGTTTACGAAAGAAGCACACATCGTCGACAGGATTTCTTGCACACGTGTACTGTATAACAATTTTGAATCAAGTTGAGTTTCTTTTATGCAGCCACGTTACTCAGAAATACAAAAATCGGAACCGCTTACTTTAAAATCAAACTACTATCCGTCCTAAAATATAATGCACTCGGTTGATTTCTGAATAACTCAAAAACAGTAAAAGATAGAGACATGCGGTTTTCAGCAATCGAAAGGCGACAATTTACGATATACTTTCACGAGCAAAACCGTCTTTCGAAAACATTCCAAAGATCAGTTTTTAGTTAGATAGATAGTCCGAAGTGTGCTCTTTAAAATAACATCTAAGCAAAAGTCTGGTTTTACTTGGTTCGAACGCTACAGACCTTTTCCCCGAAGCATTAGGACTTCCCTGTCGTTAGGTGTAGTCTGTCAGAAATGCATGAAAACATAGGTTGTCGACTATGCTGAATCTCGTGGCAACATTTGTTTTCAAAAAAGTTCCAAAAACCTAGTGAAAACATATATATTAGGTGAAATATCCCACTTTTGCCTATTTTTGAGTGAAATCAAAAAATTTATAACCCAGACAAGATTCATCCAAACTATGTCAGAATATCAAGATGTACTCTATTTTACCTCAAAGATAAAAATTACAAATTACAAATTACTAGTTCTCAAAGGAACTGTTATATTATTAAAACAAACAAATTGAAGGACGAACGTGTCACGACATCGGGCGCTAAGCTGTTCCAGTCTTTTATTGTCCGAATTAAGAAACTATGACTCTTGACCGATGTAGAAAAATTAGGTACTTGGCACTAATCCGAGGATCAGGGCATTATCTTTAGTGCCGGATCCAAGTCTTGTACAACGTCATCTAATCAAGTTTCGTTGAATTATACATGGAGGAAAGGTAAAATTTTAAGTTAACCGAAGAAAGCCAGCACTACATATATACTAGTAGTAGTTTCAAAATAAAAGAGGTGGATGATTTGTCGTCAAAACGACCAAATAACGGTCCGTATACGACATAGACCAGGTCGGAGCACTCGTGTTAACGGATCATTTTTAGACAGCTAATTGACAATCTTGAAACGACCAGTTGACGTTAACATTAACGAGCCACCCTGGTTGAACTGGAATTCCTAAAAATGGAATCCCTAAAAAATTTGGACGTAAGAAAACTTGTTTATTCTTCAAGAAATATCAAAATAATAAATATCATGTGCATCGGCTTGCTTCCATTAAAAATACCTGTGCAGGGTTCTCGATCAGGGGGGTGCTGATCCCTCCCTAAAAAACTTTTTGGACTTTCTGGCAAAATCTTTGATGTTTTGCAACTTTCTTCCAAAAATTTCCAAAGGTTTATTTCGCCAGCCACTTTCTGTGAAGCAAAATTTTTAGCCCCTCCCATTTTAGCCGCACCATCGATCAAAGACTTTTATACGAAATCTGGTGACTTTATAAAAAAAAACACCGCTGATTTCTGGATTTAATGAAGTATGCTGTTTCCATCTCTTCGCATATGACATTCATTGTTCGCATTTATATAAGTTTTTAGTAAATATTTTATTTTTAGCAATTTATTTAGATTCCGATCAATGGCCGCTTTTTTCATCCCAAATGCAACAGTGAACGAGCTAAAAAGTAAAACATACATTATTGAATTAATACTGTTAAAAGAACTTTTTTTTTCTAGAAAAAAATTTTCAGGAATTGCCTCCATGCAGTCATGCAGTTCTTAGTTGAAACTGGTGCCTTGTCAGAACTAATCGATAAACGGTTCGAATATATGTAGATATGTAGACGATACCCTGGAGATTTTAAACCACTGATTGACATAAAACCTCCATTGCAATTCCATAGACTACCTTTTACAGTTAAAAATTTCCTATCAGAAGTTATTAACACGGGATATAGCTTCTGTTGTTTAATGAAAAACATTAGTTCAAGTTTTCTTTCTTACTTTGAAATCTATCTCTTTTAACCTAGCAGATTTTCGTCTATTTTTCAGATTATAAACAAAAACAGTAGTTTCTTTGAAGGATTTTCGAATTACAGCACAGATTATTTCCTCTTTTTAAAGAAAAACAAGTGTGTGTGTGTGTGTGTGTGTGTGTGTGTGTGTGTGTGTGTGTATAAGAAAACATGTGCGTGTTCGATTGAATGAAAAAAGAAAGAAATGAAAGAACATCTTTAGTGGAAAATTCAAGCATATTGTTATAACTGTTGCATATTGTATAACTGGTTCGCTATCAACAGACAGAGAGAGATTTTTGTTGTATCAATCTCTTAGTAGTGATGTTAACATACCATCCAGTTTATCAAAAGCATCAACGTAAAGGCGAGTAAGTTTATCAAATACACAAATATTGGGCAGCGTACCTCCTTTCAAAATCATTTTACTGGAATGAAATAAAACTGTAGAAATTTATTTCATATTTGTAAAATATGCCATCATGCACTAGCAGCACCGAATCAAAATCTGATATAATCAAAAAAAAAGCATGTACCAATTCCTTTTCATTAACCTCAAAAGATTCAATAGACCTGTGGAATGAACAAACATATAGAAAAATAAGTCGAGTTGCAGCTGTATAGATGCTGTTGGTTCATTTGAGTGTTAGGGAATAGTCTTATTTTTATAAATCTCCAAAATTTCAATCAAAACTTATCCGTTAAATTCCACCTAGTTTTCTTGTATAATAGACTAGATTTATTGTTGCAAAAGTTTTATATAATTTAGAAATGCAGTCAGCAAGCGAAGAATTATTTGATGAAGAAAAGCAAGAAGGTACGATCGAGTTCATATTCTGAACATGTTTTATTCATGATAAAAATTTCTCCAATTCAGAAACACTAACAATCAAACGACCAAAACAATCTTATTTAGAAATAATTGCTGAGGCAATATTACAATCACCTAATCAAATGTTACAAGTGGGTGACCTTTATGACTATTTTCAAAATAAGTAAGTCTTATACATTATTGATTCAGAGTTCAGGATGATCTCTAAATCGCTAATTAACTTGTACTGTAGTTTCCTCAACTGATAAAAATTATTTGCTCAATTTTTCTTTTTAGATATCAATATTTTGGTAATGATGTGAATAAAAGTTGGCGAAATAGTGTGCGTCATAATTTGAGTATAAATCGTTGTTTTGTTAAAGCTGGAAAAAATAGTAAAGGATTTTTTTGGCGTGTGCATCCATTAGCCATACATGATTTTGAGAATGGTTTGTATTTTTATTTTTTCTGAACGATTTTTTTTCAAAAATTATCGTCATTTTTATTTTCATACATAGGTGTATTTCGTCAACGTCGTTTTAAGGAAAAACTTCGTCAGGCACAACAACAAGATGAAGAGGAAACAGCATCGTCTTATTCTCCAGGAACATCAGTCTACGATAATGACGACAGCAATGATCATTTATCATCACCATCACCAGATCTTCCAACATTATTTAATATATTTTCAAATTCCAATCCGTCATCATTATCATCATCACCAATGCAATCTCAACAATTCAATCCATATTTTCCATTTAATGATTCAAATTTACCATATATGAATTTGTTTCCATTTCCATTTTCATCACAGCCACCATTACCACCACCACCACCACCATCATCGCTTGTTTCTGGTTCATCGCTCGAACCACCACAACACTTTCCCTATTTCTCTATGCAACCATCAATGCCTTATTTACCATTTAATATGATTGATCCTGCGCTCTTAACAAATTATTTTCAACCACAACGAGATGAAGATGATTATTCTCGAGAAAGTTAACTGTGTCTGTAAATAAAGGTTAACAATTATTTAACAGATTATCTTTATTATTAGTTTATTTTTTTTATAACTACTATAATGAATAAAATTGGTTTAGAAAAACAAAGATGTGATATACTTAGTGGGAGCTGCAGATAAAAGTATGATGATTTTTCTCTCTAACAACAAAAATGTCAAAATACCATCCCTATACGTTACTACTGAAAATCTGCTAGAAGCTACTTTTAGCACTATTTACCTTGATAGATTGTTCGTTATCTGTTAACCTATGTATTTTGACTCCTTATATTCTAAAATAACTAAATAAGAAATGCTTCATAAGCACACTCTCTATCTCAGTTTATATCTCATTCTCAATGTGAAAATAAATCATCTTTTTACAGTGTGCGCACTGTCACAGCGGTTCGAATCTTGAGCGAAGTAGGGAAACTTTTTTCCAGAATTTAGCTTTCTCATAACAAGACGAAGATGTGTTCAAAAGGAACGATGAGAGGTGATAAACAGCGTCCAAAATAAACAAGTTTCGTCTCTTTTTTTAAGGCAGTTGTCTTTTGCACCCAATTAGCTCAGTGCCATAATTAAATATATCTCCCAATAACGATAAGTTTGTATAACTATTTTTTGTTTGCTCGTTATATTACTACGACACGAGAAAAAAAATTCACACATTTAAATATTCTGGTGTTAACCAAATTAAACAGTGATCATAGAGAACAGAATCGATATTTCTTTTTTTTCGGGTGAAATTTTTCTCAGAGATCACATACACTCTGTCACGTTTATCCTGACTTTCAAAGTTCACAATTGAATTAAAGATAAAGCATTTGGAAAATAAGATAACGATGAATGTTCAATTGCGGCTTATTAGCGTTTTTTTTTATTGATAAAAACAAAATCATGTCAAAAGCCGATTATACGAAAAGTTTGATCACTTCTCTCAACAGAAGAAAAAATCGGTAAATTATTACGAAATTCAAAAATCTAATTAAACTTTTTATTCATTTTTACTCAGATTACATCTCTGCATCACACACTACTGTTGAATGGGTTAGAAGGGTTATTTTCCAGGTATTATTGTCTTGACAAAATCTAGTTATGTTACTTCCCCTCCTCATGACCCATATTATTTCGCTGTACGTGCAATGTTAACATCTATAAAAATAAGAATTGATCCTATTTATTAATCTGCAGAGTTTTTAATCACATATGATGCCCTTTACTTTCTCATGATCAAACTTCTCTTCAGCTTGACAATGAAACTATAGACAAATATAAATCTATTAGACATAGTAATGATTATTCTCTAAGTAATATTAAATCGAAATTGGCTTATATATTTGCCCAATTATGTGAAGGTTTTTCCACGCTCTCTCAAATGTTTTGATCTCCTAAGCCTGTTTAGTGAACAACAGAAGAGAATCTCACTGAAACTTCAACCCCACATTCTTGGCCTTCTCCGAAAGACTCGCTAAAGCGATATATTGGAAACTTCATCAGTGGCGGATACAGCCCACGCGCGATACGAGCAACTTAACTAAAAAACTGTTTTTTCCGAGCAGAACTCTTTTAGAATAATTTTTTTGTATGACGATCGCATGTATCTCGTACTTTTATCGTATACCGCACGTATCAAAAGAATAATTCTGGATCCGTCACTGAACTTCATTTGCATGTATTCTGGCAGATTGTTTTATGCCTAACTCATCTACATTTATCTTGACTATCTATGTCTGATATATTGATAGCCAAGACTCGGATTAGAATATTTCTGTAAAGACTATACGATAGAACAAGAACCTTTGAGCTTATTAAAGTTTGTGTTCTTCTTTTTCCTTCTCTTTTCTCTTTTCATTGGCTATTTGTCAAATAAAATTGAATGTTTATTCTTATTGGTTCATAAGAAGAATAAAATACAGAGAAAAGTACATGCATCAGTATAGAAAAAAGAAAGAGAGCGAATTGAGTCGTACTAATATACTGATGATCATTATATCATAAAAGACTAGTTGGAAATAGCCATACAGTGAGAATATTATTTGTATCTATTAAAACAACAAACGAACAGCATTCAAACTTGAGTAGAAAATTTCAATAAAAAGTTTCCAGCAGAATTTTCTAACCACTTCTTTTCTCTTGTCTTTTGTTGTAATTTCTAGTGACTGATCATCTGTGGAACAATATGGCCTATTACGCATACTCGGATAGTCGTGAGTAAATGATTTTTTTATTATAACCAAATTTATGTATTGTTCCGTAGTTTTCTGACCGTTTGAAAAGAATAAAAATTATTAGATATTACAGTGAATTAATTATCCTTTTTGAGAATATTTTCACATTTTTTACTTCACTGTTTATAAACAAACAACTGTAGCTATTTGAAACATTTAATTATTGATAGAATTCTTTCAATACATGTCATTTCCTTGTTTAAAAACAGTGAGTTAGTGTATACAAATTTTCTTTTTGATCTTTTTGGTATGTCTAATAGTTTAGATTCGATTAATCGCTAAATAATTTCATTGGCAGGTCAAGTGTTGAAAACAACATTATCATAAGTGTTTTTTAAAAGAATTCTGTGAAAGCTGCTATGTAATTGGCAAGCTAACGCTATACGTTACTCTTTTTCTTTATACAGGTCAATGCGAAACGCAAGACAAAACAAGTTTCGATAAAGTTGATGAAGAAGATGATAGTACGCGAGAAAGTGATTCAAAAACCAATATGTCAAGAAAACCGAATCAATCGTATTTAGAAATAATAGCCGAAGCTATTTTACAAGCGCCCAACAGAATGATGCAATTGTATGAAATATATGCATATTTTCAAAAAAAGTAAGTGACAGCAATTCTGTAACTATTATCAAATATATGATCTTTATTATCGTCTTCCTCACTAGGTCATCATATTTCGCCGAAAATGTGAATAAATCTTGGAAAAATAGCGTTCGTCATAATCTAAGTTTAAACGATTGTTTTATGAAAGCTAGCCGAGGGTATAATGGCAAAGGTCATTACTGGCGAATTCATCCATTGGCAGAATCTGATTTTGAACAGGGTCAATTTAAACGTCGTCGACAACGACATCAAATTCGACAATGGCAACATCAACAATTATTCCAACGTCAACAACAACAAGCGCGGATATCGACGCCAATGGAAGCCCCATATTATTCTCAAATGCTTCATCTCAATTTTCAATCATCACCTATGTTAACATCAACACCACCACCGTACAACATTTCCATGTCTCCATCACAGTATCCCACAAACATGTTTCATTATCCACTTCCATCACCGATAAATGAACCTAATCCAGCACAATCTTCTCCATCACCACCTTTTCCAATTCCATCAATATCACCATCGTATTATTGCCACTATCGACCGATTAATTCATCTCTAAATGATTCTGGTATCTCAATTCCATCATCACCTGCACCATCTCCCTGCCCGTCTTATTTTTCAACAACACATCCGTATTACTCATTAAATGTTTTTCCAGACTCGTCTTATGAACAGTCGGAAGAATATTCTCGGTATAATACTAACGAAAATACAAAAACATTTGAGTAAAAATCTGCATTTTGCACATTAAATTATTTTTTTTTTGTTTGTTGATTTTGCACGAATTGTATATAATAAAAATTTGCTTTTGTTTTTTCACTTTACTTTGAAACTCATCAAAAATTAACGGTCAATTTTGCAATTAGCTACACTTGATGGAATTGAAAAGAAGAAGATAGTTGGAAGATTTCGGTAATATGAGATGAAAAATCCTTCTAATTATTTGTCAGTTAGTCTGTGTTTACTATAGAGCATTGGAAAAAATTAGTAGCAGAGAAGAATTTTTCACGTATTAATACCTAATCATTATACATCATGTTTTTCTATTAGAAACGTCGATTAGTCGAGATTCGATTGAGTAATGCAAGAGTCGTTATACTTTTTTGATGACAAATATCAATCAAAGCAATTCTCACAATTTAGTTGAATTTACCTTCTATGTAAGAAGATCAAGAGTTTAAGAATTAATTTGTTGCGGTTCATCATCACACAACACTATCGGCAAGTTTATTGCAAGATACTCATCATTATTTTGCTAGCAAGTAAAAATCTAAGAAGGTACAAATATGATCCTAGTAAGCTACTCAATCATAACATATGCATAATAAGAGACTCTAATAGTTAAGCGCCTTCTTCAATTTTAAAATGGCTAAATTAACCAAAAGAAGACCACACGAGTATTAATAGGGGCAGAAAAGCCAATTTTCAATGTACTTCATATACGAGATCAACTATGGCAAGTTCTCTATATGAATAAACGGTTTGTCAATCGATTAATTATCTACACTAATAGAGGGGTGAGCTCAGTTTTTTTCTACTTAAACTAATTAGAATTCATTCTTTGAGGCGTGTTAAATATATCTTTAATCTTTTACCGTTCTACTGCATAAAAATATATATTCGCACCATGACGTGATTGGCTCGAATATCATTATTTCTTGTTTTATGGATGATTTTACCTTCAAATTGTGTTTTCCAAAATGTTAATAAATTTCAAGTGCAACGACTGACTGTTTAAGTGTTTGCACCATGAACTAGTACAAACTTATTCTGCTTTTGGATATTTTAATGGTTTAAACCAGTTAATTTACTTTACAATCAGTATTTGATTGTTAGACAGGTTATGTAAAGGATGCTTTTTTAAGGAAAGAAACTTTAGACAATTCGTCGTTCTTTAGAATGAATTGACGACTATGCATTTCAAAATATAAGACGGTTGAATGTTTTCTGAATACCTTTATTTGAAAAGAGATCGAAATTCCCAGTTTTCCCTATTCGATAGCCAAGAACTTATTTCTTCGTCTAAAATTGATTTAAATGATTGTATTTCAATGGGAACACTTTGAACGTACCTGATCATGAATATAAAATGAATTACGCTCAAGTTTTAAAGATAAAGAAAAATTTAAAATAGTCTATGACTCAGTATCCAACTACATCACCTAATCTGGTCGATTTCCATAAACTGATGAATTAATTGGATAAGTGGTCTGTTTCTCTTTGTTCTTGTATCCTGTATTTTAAAAAACAAAAATATAAACAAACGTAAACTTTCTTTCCATTTCTGTTTGTTAACTACTTTTACTGCTACCTTTTTTCCTCTTTTTTCTCGTATTTTTATTGTAAGATAAACTCATATGGTGATATAATATGATCACTCGAATTACAATTTTGCTTTATGCTGTAATTCCTTCTCCTTTGGACAGAAGTCGATTATTCCGTAGACTAGAAATTCTAGGATTTGATTGTGTAAGCATGTAAAAGTACACTCTAATAAAAAATGCGACTTCAGTCATGTATCTACCGAGAAAAAGCGGCTTTCATGTGTCTAGTTTGCGTCTTCCAACATTACGTCATTTTCCATATGTCTCTGATGTGTCTACGAGTATGAACATAGAAGTCGCATTGAAGTTGCATGGAAGCCGTTTCAATAAGAAAGACGCTTAATAGTCACATCTCCGTGGATGGTTTGAAAATATCAATTGATACCGCTTGATGAATGTGTCCTAGAACTCGTAGTTTTTTAAGTGTAGCAACGAGTATAAAAGAAAAAAGTTAAGTTTGCAACCATCCAGAAATCTAGTCAAAGATTTTCTTGAGTTTTTATATTGTCATACAACTATGCGACATAGCTTGACATTTTTGGAAAAAGCTAGTATTATTGCCTCACGGGCGTTTTTTTCGTTTTACACACTTCACTCTTTCATAACGTTACTCAATATTTGTAAATAAGTCACAGTTGGAAACTTGTTAATCCATGTAAACATTCGTGTAAAGAGAAGAAAAAAAAGACAAGAGCACTACTCATTATCATGAATAACGATAACTGTACGAAAACGACGACATAATTTTTTCTGTTTGATCTTCTATCGTCCACATTCTATCACCTCAAAAAAAATATTTAAGAGGAATCTTTATATTGTTCGATTAACCGAATTTATACACACTTAATTAGATGTAAAAATAGAAAAATAATAATATGGATAAAAAAATGCACACTGTCGATGACAGTGTGATAGTTAACTTCTGGAAGTGCTCAGGTCAGAGTTGCCGCTTTTAGAACTGCGAAAACGCAGAGAAAAGTGGAAAGACTTTTAGCGCAAAGTGGATAAAAACAGAAAGCATTTTTTTCGCTTCTTGACGCATTTGTAAAGAAAAAACTTATTAGCTACAATAAAAATGCATTTTCAAATCAGCAGATTCAAGAAGAATAGTGATTCACTTTAACAAAAAGCAGAAAATGTGGCAAACCTCATTCAGTTCCAAATTTCTACTGAAAGCATGGAATGACACTAAACAGAGGGAAAACGGATTATTTCTAAAGCTAGATAGGATACTAGCTGAGAGTAAACTTTATCTATTACGGCAGCTATTGCTGTCTGATTTTAAACAAAAAACTTAAGTTAATTAGATCGAACATGCAACAGGATGATGTATTATGATTATTTTCACAAAGCGTAAGATATTCAGATTATAAGCTTTGATAATGGCTTTTATGGAATAAGAGAAAAAGAATCTTCGAATACCACTCTCGTATAGATAAATTAGAAATGTGAAAAAAGCTCACTTTTCCTACGAAATTTGCAACTATTCTGGTGAATTGAATAAACTGAGTTATGATTTGAATTGAAATGCATATTTTGTGAAAGTTAGAACAATTGGAAAAGGAGATCCTTAAAATAAATCTTATTCTAAATGAGGCGTATATTGTTATCGACAAATTACCAACATCAATACTGAAGGCTTCCACTCTATGTGTCCGTAGTACGTACAAGGTAACCGTAAGTCTTCTAGTTTAAGGGAAAAAATTAAATGCTCAATATTTTTTTGTAAACGCTCAGTATTATATGCAAAATTACTGTGGAAAAACCACTTTGAAACCTTTAAATCGTCAGATCTATACAAAAATTCTTAAATCTATGTCGAGAAATTTACATTTTTTCATTCTTCCGATTAAAGATTGTAGTATAGATGTAAAATCTTGTTTTCTTTAATACTGAAATGTGTGGCGACTTTAATCTCAACAATCAATAGTGAAAATTTCTCAGCATATATTTAAAATTTTCATATCTGTCTGATGATTAACGGTTTCGGTTCTACATGATATTTTGGAAACCGGACCGAAACCGTTTTTTCTCATTTGTAGTAATCGGAACTGGAGCTGGAAACATGGTTCCGGGTAATTTTCGAGGTCGCTAAGCTATACAGGAAGGCACACACCCCACACCCTTAATACTAAATCTTTTTAAATTAATTACTGAGCTTTTCAAACTATTTACTGAGCAAAAAATACTGAGCCTTCGTTATAAAATACTGAGCAATTAAATACATGCCCTAGTTTAATAATCATGTTATCAGGTTCTTATAATCTACGATCAGGACGGCGTCAATTTGAATATACGTAAAACCATACAAACGCCAATGAAAACTTCCATGGTAATAATTCTTCACGGAAAAATGGCACGACTTCCTTGATCAAATAATCTCTTTTCGCCCACATTTTTATAAAAAGGTGGATGGAAGATACCTCTAAGAAAATATTTTTGTCCCATGCGGCGGAAGATGAAAAAACTAAGTTGAAAGGAAGTATAAAAGCCGTCGTCTATTCCGCCTGAAACTATCCATATATTCTGTGATTCTAAGCGGAGTAGTTGAAGTTTGAACAAACACTGGTACACTAGCGATGATTCACTGAACTTTCATCTAAAGGACGGGAAACGGTTTCTGCTAGAAAATCGCCCAATATGATTTTGAGTGAAAATGATCGGAAATGCATCCCTTTTCACTTCCCAACACTTCCCATTTTCAAAAAATCCTTCTGGTGTCTTTGAAAAAAAATTACGTTTCAGTTTTCGCCACAAGTTCAACAAAAGCCATTTACGTTT